AAAAAAAAAAAATTTGATCAAAGTACCCTAAAATGCTAAAATCTTTTCCAGAATCTATGTTATGCTCACAACCCAGAGTTTGTGGCCTCCATTTTCTGTCCCAGAGTATATTCTTATACTTCCCATTGTTCAGTGCATCCCCAAAGATCTCTTGTGGGATGTACTCAGATGTTATGATGCAGTCACCTAAGCCAGCAGACTAGACTTAAGACATGGAACTATTCTTTTACCCTCTGAAAATATTTATGTGTGATCTTCACTAAATGTGGTCACTTTTCTGTAATACTGCCATACTAGGGTTTTTGTTTGTTTTCCTAACTGCAGTCTAAAATTTGAAGCATTGTGGGGAGGTGGGCAGGGGAGGGAATAAAAAGCCAAGTTTACTCAACTAAAGGTCAAGTTCTACAGAGTTATATAACAATCAAATTAAAATTAAAAACTCCTTATTTTGGGGGTGCCTGGCTGGCTCAATTGGAAGAGTGTGTGACTCTTGATCGCGGGGTCATGAGTTCAAGCCCCACATTGGTATAGAGATTACTTTAAAAAATAAAATCTTTTTTTAAAAAACTCATTTTTAAAAGTTGTGGAAATAAATATTACAATTGATGCAAATTATCAGTTTTAAAGTCATTTGAGTTATCAACTCATCATACTCACAGAATCCCTGTGTACCATACACTCCATTAGAATCTGAAAAAGGTGCTTGGACTGTTTAAGACTAAAGTTGAAAGTGTTCTGAATCATGCAGATGATCTCCTCCTTCACCTGAGGACGTAGGGCCCTGAGAGAGAGAGAAATGGTCATGACTTGGCACAATGCAGAGGAGGGAACAAGCCAGCAACTTCAGGGCAAGAGCACCTGTGGGTCCCATCTGACTGAGAAGGTTTGCATGGACAGTTCTGCTCTGAGAGCAAGTGGGCAGGAAGCAAAGGGAAGCAAGGTACCAGGTGAGGCCGAATCTGAAAGCGAGCACAGGTGGATCTGCCATGATCCTGGAAAGAATGCACTCTGGGGCAAGGTTCCCGAGCTGACAGATTTCCAATACATGTTTCCTTAAGTAAATCGGTGGGGTCAATATTTTAGTTCATAGGCATTATATTTACTTACACAGGAGAAAGACCACACTTTTGAAATTGGAAAAATCACACTAGTTATAGGGCTAGTGAGAGAAAAGCGACCGTTTTATTTAAAAGGCTAAAGAATTAAAACCTTAGGGTGCCTGAGTGGCTCAGTCAGTTAAGCATCTGTCTTAGGCTAAGGTCATGATCCCAAGGTCCCAGGATCAAGTCCCACATCAGGCTCCCTGCTCAGTGGGGAGTCTGCTTCTCCCTCACTCCTGCTTGTGCTCTCTCTCTCCCCCTTTCTTTCTCAAATAAATAAATAAAATCTTTTTTTTTTTTAATAAACACAACATATATTAATGCCAGTATGCTGGTTTCCCCAATTCCTGCTATTTTTACTAATGGCAAATGAATCTGAAGGTGATCTGGGGCCAGCACTGGTCTCCTCACTCACTGCAGGGTTTTTTCAGCTTTACAGACCAACTGCAGGAGCATCTCCTCCCTCACTACTCCGTGGAAGTGCTCCCCCGCCCACCCCCAGCAGCTCAGACAGGGTTCAAGAGCCCCTGAGAGAGGCAGGCCATTCTTCGGCGAAAGAAACAGCAACTTGCATCAGCGGAGGGCATTTGGACATTAATCAGTACATATAAAAATCACTGAAAAATTAATTCCAGTCTCAATCTCTGTCCCCCAAGGATATGTGGCCCACCCAAAAGCAGAGCTTAAGGAACTAAAATGGAGGAATAAATCGTTACCGTGGTTTCAGAACTGAGGAGTCAGCAACTCACCCTTCATCTGCTATGTGTTTGTGGGTGAAGGCCAGGAGGTCGGCGGCCCTGCCCGTGCCGTCACAAACCACCACCGGATCTTCGTCCCTCACTGTCTCCCACACAGCGAGGATGACATTGGGACCTCCTTCTACCACCAGCCCCACCACGGGCACACCTTGTCTTGAACCTATTTCAGAGGACAAACAATACCAAAGTGTTACAAAGATGCTGGCCAATCATCCATTTTGCTTTCCTGGGCACAAGTCTTTCAATCACCCCAGATACCGGTTACCTGAGCTCACCCTTCTTCCTTCCTTGCCTCACTCAGGCTTCCCTAGTTCAAGACCGAGTCAGAAGCTTGCACTCTCAATAAAGTCGCAGAAATATGGTGAGAGCATCTTCAAGCTTTCCCCCGTTAAAAAGGTAGCTAAAGGTTTTCACTAGTTAAAAAAAAA